AGCAATTTTTGAGTTTTTTGCTTCTTGATTTGTGTTCCTTTGACTTTTTGGGTATTATGATTTCTCTGACTCCTAAAATTTGGATGCTTAGCTTACTAGTTTTCAGTCTTTTTTTTTCTGAATGTAAAGTATCCAAAGTTGTGGATTATTTCAACATACCTGCCTATTTTGCATTCTGCGCAATTAGATTTGTAGTTACTTTGTTATTAATTTTAAAGTATTTTAAAATTTCTTTCAGGATCTTAAAAGATTTAACCCGAATTATACTTTTCATTTTTCTCTTCTTTACTCAGTTGCATTATAGTCAGAGAAAATAATGTTAATCCTTTGAAACTGTTTGAGGAGCTGTTGTTGTGGTGTTGTGAGTGAAGCTGTAATACTGGCATCCCATATGAGCGCTGGTTCAAGTCCTGGCTGTCCCACTTGGATCCGGCTCTCTGCTCAGAGGCCCTAGTGCTTGGGCCACTGCCACCCACATGGAAGACATCCATAGAGTTTAGGCTTCTGGCTTTTAGCCTGACCATGTCCTGGGTGTTGGCAGCCTTTTCAGAAAGTGAGTCAGCAGATAGAAGAGCTATCTCTCTATGTAATTTTGCCTTTCAAATAAATGAATTGATGTTAAAGGAGGAACGTTTATTCGAGAGACAGCGGACTCCCATGTGCTGACTCAGCCTCCCAGTGTCAGCTGTGGCCATGGCTGGGCTGCAGCTGGAAAAAGCAAACGGAGGGATTTCCTTGGGGAGGTGTGATGACATTTATGATTAGCTTTTATTTTTACAGTCCATTGTTGTTTGAGATATGGTCTGATTTTTAACCATTTAGCTTGCTCTGTTTTTGTCCTTTGTGTTACTGAAGGTTTGACAGCCTGAGATGATTTTGCCCACAGTGGCTATTTGGCTCTCTCTTGATACAGTTTTGATCATTACCTGGGCACCTAGTGGATGGAGACCAGAGATTGCCCTAAACATCTACCATGCACAAGGTAGCCCCCATGCCACCGGGTATTCAGGACGTCGGTAGGGCTGGGAGTGGCACAGATCTTACTGTGTGTGCTTGCTGGATGGCTAAGGGAAAATCCCTCGCAAATGTTTCCTGCGTTATTTACCCAGTCTGGCTATTATGTTCCTCCAGAATCACATGGATAAGCCCAGCACCTCTTGCCTTACCCGGTGAAGCATGCTGACGGGTTTCCTTTCCTTTGGTGTTTTCTGAATTTCCACAGGGTGTTTTGCAGTTTAAATCTGGGATATTTTACTTTAAATGCAACTTATTTTTTGACCTGCCTTAATTGGGTTTGTTTGGCATGTTTCACAATTGCATCTCATTTATTATACTGGATAATTTGAGAGACTAGTGAAATCATTAGGTTAGTATTGTAATTTAAGAAAGAGGTACCTGAACTATGAGGTTGACTTATGTATAATTGATTGCATTTTCCCCAGTGTTATGGAATAAAGATCTGAGGTGATTTCTTCCTCGCCATCCCGCCCCTGCCATCTGCCCGTAGAGTGGGATTTCCTCCTGTCCACTGTGCCATATCTCAATTTGGTTTGAAATGTAAATTGCCTTGGGTTTCCGCAGCAGTACATAAAAAGGAAACCAAAGGATGAAAGCTTCCATTTCTATTTTTCCTGTGATGAAACTATCACCTGACAAGGAATTCTTTGCAGTTTGTGTTTGTCTTTAAAACACTTAGAATTACAGTTTACTTAAATGATATGATAGAATTAAAATTACACAGATTAGCTGCCTGAGACCCTCGGGAGTCTCTTGTCAAGCATCCTTTGATCTTGTGCATCAGGAGTCCCCAGGCCTCCACGGCTGACTGTCTACATGGAGAGAAAGGAAGCGAATTCCGCCTGCTATTCATCAACCCTGAATAGAAGATAATTAAGAATGATACCAGCTCTTAAGCATAACACACAAATCACACTTATTTGCTAACAAAATAAAGCTTGCAAATAGACCTTAAGAACTAAAGTTGTTTAAATGAAAATTAATTTAGCTTATTTGAATGCGCCTGCATTGAATTTCATGTCATCATTAACACCCTTTTCTTGAGGAGAAAAAAAGTCACAGTGTTTCTAAGAGAAGCACTAGTTTTTCTTTCTTACCCAATTACCTTCATTTGTAGGGTAAAATTAATATATTTCTAGCATTTAAAAAAAAAAGGCTGTTTTTGGAACAGTGGAACAGCTGGCGAGAATAGGGATGGCTTCTTCAGTTGGCTGCTTGCTGTTGCTGGCTAAGAGTGGATACCTGGAACTGAGAGGAGCAGAGAGGTTTTTGTTTATAAACATTTTTCCTCTTCCCATGTGTTCCCAAATGATTAAAAGCACTAAGCTGTCTAATTTGACTTTATGTTCAAGTTTTTGAAGTTGTGTGATGAAGCATTATCAATTATTGCGACCCCTGAATGATACAGTTCTGCATTTCTAGTTCATGCTGTCAGCTTGTGGGGTTTGGAAGTGCGGTGCTATTTGCTTTCATGTGGTCATTTAGGTGGCCAGAGTTCTATTTTCTAAAAATAGTTGTCTTTATTGTTTGAAAGAGAGAATGAGAGAGAGGGGTGGGATGAGAATGGAAGGAGCTGAGGTCTACAGTGGCTGGCTCTCCTGAAGCCTGCAGTGCAGTAGCCAGGGCTGGGCTGGGGGAAGCCAGAAGCCTGGAACTCAGCGGGGACTCCCAAAGAGACCCAGGCACACAGCCATCATTGCTACACCCAGCGTGCAAATGAGCAGGAAGCTGGACTTGGGAGCAGGGCCAGGAGTCAAACCCAGGCTCTGACATGGGATGCGGAGTTCCAACTGGCATCTTAACTTCCGTGCTAAACTGCATTGAATTTTGAGGATTCGTTCTACATTCTGAAAGCAAGCTCTTTATCATGATTTGTAGAGATTTGTGATTATTACAGACTTGCAAGCAAAGAGAAATCCTGTTTATTCTTTAGCCAGTTGTCACAATGGTATCACCTTATCAAACTTTGGGGCAGCATCACAGCCAGATTGACACTGACATGGTCAAGATGCAGACATTCCTCTCAGTACAAGGATACCTTATATTGTCCTTTTATTGCCACATATTTTCTCTCATCTCTTTCTTAACCTCTGACAGCCATTAATCAGTCCTTCAGTTCTGTAATGTTGTCAGTTCAAGAGTATTAGGTCTACTGGAGCCTGCACTGTGGCACAGTGAGTTTAGCTGCCACTTTTGACCTCAGCATCCCTCATATCCTTCCTTTCCATGTTTAAACCCAAGTTTGAGTGGTGGCTGCTCCACTTCTGATCAGTTCCCTAACCATGTGCCTGGGAAAGCAGTAGAGAGAGGATGACCTGTGTGACCCATGTGGGAGTTCCAGATGGTGTTCCTGACTCCTGGCTTTGGTCTAGTCCAGGTTATGACTGCCACTTGGGAAGTAAATAAGCAGATGGAATATCTTTCTGTCTCTCTTCTTTCCATCATTTTGCCTTTCAAATAAATAAACCTTTAAAGAAGTATCGTATACATAAAATTGTGTAGTATATAATCTTTTAAGTTTGGCTTATCTTCAGCAACAATTCTTGTTATTATATATGTCAATGGTTTGCTCTTTCTTATTGCTGATAATTACTTCCTATTAGATGTACCATTATTTAACTGTTTACCCATGTGATTTGTGGCATTGATCTACACTCCAGGCTGTTTTTAAATGACTGAATATTATCCTATTGAATGGACTAGGCATGCATATTTTGTTTTTTACCACTTGATAAACACTTGAACTATTTATGGCCTTTGGCTATTATAAAACATGCTGTTCTGAGCATTCATATACAAGCTTGTCTTTGGCCATCTGTTTCTGATTCTCTTGAGTTGCGACTGAACTGGAATTGCTGTTATATGGTAACTCGACTTGTTTGTGAAACTGCCATGCTGCTTTCTAGAGTGGCTGCCCATCAGCAGTGTATGAGCGCTTTTATTTCTCTGCATACACTCCCTGATTTTTTTTTTCCGCTCTCAAGTTTCGTATTTTAGTTCATCAACCAGTCTGAATGCTTTTTTAATATGAGAGATTTAGTGGAATGTTTTTCCCCTTACCCTATGAATAACTAATTGTTCCAGAACTATTTGTTGAGAAGAATAATTTTCTTCTATTGAATTCATGTTGGATTCATTTTGTACCTTTGTCAAATATCAGTTTGGTAGGGTGAGCACTGTGACACTGCAGTGTTAGTTTCTGCTTGTCATGTCCATCCCACATCAGAGTACCGGTTCAAATCCTACTCATTCTACTCCTGATCTAGTTCCCTGCTGTTACTTTCAGGAAGGCAGTGGACAATGCTTCAAGTTCTTACATCCCTGCCACCCACATAGGACACAGAGTTCCTGGCCTCTGGCTTTGGCCTGGCCCAAATCTGGCTGTTATGGAGTGAACTAGTGGATGGAATTCTCTCTGTCTTTGTTTATTCCACTCTTTGTCACTTTGACTTTCAAATAAATAATTAAATAGATCTTTTAAAAGATCAGTTGTGTGAGTCTGTTTCTTGATTTTTCATTGTGTCTGCCCCACTGCCAGCATTGCACTGTAGCTAAGCAGTAAATCTTGCAGTTGGGTAAACTGGTTGTTTCTACTTTGATCTTTTGCAAAATGATTTCTAGCTGCTTTGGATCTTTTGCTTCTCTATATCCAAATTAAAATAACCATGGGTGTATCTGTAAAAGTCTTTTTGGATTTTGAATGTATCTCTTGAAGCCTGTATATTACTTTGGGGAAAAGTTTACTTATTTTTATGGGAAAGATAGATATAAAGAGAGAATGAGAGATGGAGAGAAAGATCTCTGTCTGCTGATTCACTCCCTAAGTGGCCACAATGGCTGGAGTCAAGCTGATCTGAAGCTAGGAGTCAGGAGCTTCTTGCAGGTCTCCCACACAGGTGCAGGGTCCCAAGGCTTTGGGCCATCCTCCACTGCTTTCCCAGGCCACAAGCAGGGAGTTGGATGGGAAGCGGGGCCATCAGGTTTAGAACTGTTGCGCATATAGGATCCCAGCACATGCAAGATGAGGGCTTTAGCCACTAGGCTACAGTGCCGGGCCTGGAAAATGGATATATGTGGGCTACAGAGAACAGACTTTGATTGGGCCCTTCTCTTTCTGTGCCTACTGAAGTTTCTGGGGGTGATTCTCGCTTCTTCAGCTTGAAATGTGGGAGATATGGATCAAGAAGAAAACCCAGATAAATGCCTACCATGTCATTGCTTAGGTAGGAAGGTTCCTAATTGGTCTTCTACCTTCTTCATCGCTCAGTGTCTTCTACTATTTGTTATTCTTAACAGGTGGTATGAAGAAAACATGTGTTTTCTTCCATTTTCCCAGAAGATTCGGGAAATTGAATTTTCTTTTGTAAAAGTTAAATGTAGATAGTAGAGATCATTTCATATTTGTATAAGTTGCATACTTAATCTATTATTAAAACCATTGTGTTGTATTTTATGAATATATATTCTTTGCCAGTCCCCTACCAATGAGCCATGTAGGTTGTTTTTAGTCCTTTGCTATATTTTTATTTAAAAAAGGATTTATGTATGCATTTGAAAGGCAGAGAGGGAGGCAGAAATAGAGAGGGTTTGATATTCCCTTGCTGATTTGCACTCCAAATGGCTGGACTAGGCTAGTAGCTGGGAACTCATCTGGATAACCCAAAAGGGTGGCAGAGACTCAGACACTTGTGCCATCTTGCACATCTTTTGCAGGTGCCTTAGAGGAAGTCAGGAGGGTCAGAATAGCTGGATCATGAGCTGACACCTGAATGGGATGCGGATGTCACAAGCAGTGCCTCAGTCTGCAGCTCCCGCCTCAGGGTCTTGCTCTTCCAAACAGTGCTAAATGAATAACTTCATAGTTATTAGGAATCTTCAAAGGGTTCATGAGAAGTAGGTATTCTAAAGAAATTACACATGAATTAAAATTTTTTTTTTGCATCAAGTAAGCTTATCTTTTTAGTTAGCTTTTCATTACTTTCACTAAAATGTCTGAGAAGAGCCATGTAATAGGAAAGAAGGTTTACGTCAGCTCACACCTTGCAGCTCAAGATTGCTTGGCCGATTAGCCTGGCATCCAGCGGAGGTTGGTAGTCGCAGATTCTGTGTAGAAGTGTGATCCCATGACAAACCAAAAAGCAGCAGGAATAGGATATGTGTTATTTTTTTGTGCCTGATGTGGTCTCTCTATGTAAGTGTGCTGATATTTGATTGTGAGGCTCCACTTGAGCGATCTAAACCAATCGATTGACTTACTATAATGACTTACCTTAAGCCATGGTTGAATCAGGCCCCTGCCTAATTCACCAGTGGGTAACATAAGACATTGTGTTTAAACCTCTATGTGAGTTTGGGGAAACCAAATCCTGTTCAAATTGCAGCACTTAAATGAACTCTCTGAATTGCGCATGTACATAATAATGTGCATGAAGCCAATATGACTGAAAGATAGAATATTGGGCATAAAGTTGCTGAGTTAAAGGATATGTACATTTTACACTCTGATAGGTAATGTAAAATGAGCTTCCAGAGAGATTGGTTGATAATTGTCCTGATGTTAACGTATATAGAACCTTTTAGCATTCCTCAAATGGATTTTAGTGATGGGTTGTCGAAGGAAAAGATTTTTTTCAGACCAATAATCCAGTCTTCTAGAGATGTTTGAATCATGCTACGTGAGGTTTGTTTGCTGTTAGGTCTTAGAGTACTTCATTCCTCAACGGCTCTTAACTTCCCATTGGAGTGTGAATTGTGCTCCTGTGGTTACTGATGTTAAGCATTTTCACTCAAACACATTTCTTTTGGTTTGAACAATGATTTGTTCACTGATTTATTACTGATTGTTCACTGATTTATTCCAGCCTGAGCTTTTTCCAAGGGATTCTTCTTTTTTCTAATTAAATATGAGGTGGGGAATGTTCAACCATAAGAGAGCTTTAAAATATTTCAGTCTGATTCTGGCAGCCACGCGCAGGACTCAAAATCCAATGAATCTATAACAGACTAATGTTTAAGTTGATAACTTTGTGTGGCCCACGAGTGATGTTATAAGTATTTAAACCCTTGGCAGAAAAAGGTTCAGCATCCTGAATTAAATCAGTAAGGGTGGTGGATAAGCTGATCATTATCATTTTATCATTTTTTGAGTATACTATATAATATTGGCTACTTTTGGTCTTGTTTCTTATCAGAGTATTCCACTGTATAGACCACGAGCTACTTTATCATTCTCTTGAAGAATGGATTATATACAGCTTTTGGTTAATATGAACAGAGCTTTTGTGTACATTTTTGTATATGCTGTTTGGTAGTCAGAGCTTAACTATTTTTTTAAAATGTCTTTAATCAGGATAGTTTTTTTTTTTAAGGTTATTTATGGAAATTTGCTGGCTCATCTTCAAATGGCTACAGCGACCTGGGCTAGGCCAGGGCAAAGCCAAGAGCCAGGAGCTTCTTCCTAGTCTCCCATGTGGATGGCTGCAGCGGGCTTAGGGACTGGAGCCATCTTCCATTACTTTTCCAGGCACCTTAGTGGGAAGCTAGATCAAAAATGGAGCAGCTGGTACTGTAATTGGCACCCATATGGGATGTGGGTGTTGCAGTGCTGGCTTAACCCACTGTGCAATAATGTTAATCACATAGGATAGTTTTAATCTCACAAACTGTCTCTTGGATTTTTAAAAATTTGTTTTATTATTTCTTTGAAAGATTTATCCACTTGGAGGTCAGTATTATGACATAGTGTCATATGGATGCCAGTTTCAGTTCCAGCTGCTCTGCTTTTTCATCCAGGTCCCTGCTAAAGTGCTTGGGGAAACAGCTGAAGATGCCCCAAATGCTTGGGCCCCTGTACCCCTCTAAGAGTCAAGGATGGAGTTCCAGGCTCCTGGTGTTAAGCTGCACCAGTCCTGGATGTTGTGGCCATTTGGGAGGTAAACCAGTAGATGAAAGCTCAACCTCTAGTTCTCAACCCTAGCACTGTGCCTTTCAAATAAATAATTGATTCTTTAAAAAGGCAAAGTGACAGAGAGAGATTGAGAAAGAAAAAGATCTTACATCCTCTGGTTCACTGTTCAAGGGCCTGCAAGGGCCAAGGCACAGCCAGGCTGAAACCACGAGCCTGGAACTCCTACAAGTTTCCCCTGTGAGTGACGAGGAGCCCAAAGACTCAGGCCATTTTCCATTACTTTCCCTGTCGTTTTAGGGAGTTGAAATTATTTTCCATTCATCAATTTATACACTATATTTTGGGTACTTTTCTCAGTGACTAAGATTTTCTTTCCATAGTTGCTCTCAGTGGGTAATAACAAAATGAACTTGAAAGTGTCAGTATATAGTTACTGTTTTACTTTATCACTTAGCCAAAATCTGCTCAATAAGCATCCTTTTTGAGTTAAAGTATTATCCCAGTATTCCATCATTTCTAGAGTGTTTAAGATTTAGTTTAATAGTATGAGGATACTTGGAAAAGCTCATGGAAAACAATTTTTTTTTGCCCCCAAATAAATGTCTTTTAGTTTTATTTTCTCATGAGCTTTTGAAGTGTCCTGGTGCATTCCTTGATTTTCCTACCCCTGGAAAGAAGTTGCCAAGCCTCTTTATCCATGCTTAATCCAGTATGGTTGCCTTTCCCTTTCCCCCCACTAAATTCCTTTTCTCTTGTGTTTGAATAGTATAAATTTTCTTTCTTTTTTTTTTCTTTCTGTCCTCAAAATTCCGCTGTGCGTGACAATCATTTTGCTGATATGCAGCTTTATCAGGTAGGACTCTTACGTGTCATGTTGGACTCCCAAATTGTGTTGTGGAACTTTCCAGGGGACAAGCTGTCCACCCTGACTCTCGTACGTTGGCTTGATCTGTCTGAAATCTTGTGAACGCTGTTGGGCTTTTAAAGGCATATATACCTCAACCTCAAGGGCATGCTTGCCAAATTTGTTATGCTTCTATTTGAAAATGAAATATTTAAGTGTTTTCTTCAAAAATATTGTTGCTTTATGTCTCCGGCTTTCTCTAATATTGATCTGTCTATAGTTCTGTATGTTGTCTTGTTTATATGAATAAGTGCTTATAAATACATCAGTGCTAATCCGAACATTCATGTATGTTTTTTGTGTGTATATCCTTTACCGCAAAACATATTCTCGACTATGCATTTTTTCCAAAATATAATCCCATGAAAATATGTTAATCTGAGATGCTGGGTCGAGTAGCACAAAAAATGGTATAAGTTCCCTCGACCTTTCTTGAGAGATTCAGCAGACACATTAGCGTATTAGAGCTGTTGCTTTTATGCAGTATAGAAATTGTTTATCTGTGTTTATCTCAGCATCTTACAGAAATAAGTGAGTACAGAACACTTTGTAATGCCCAAGGGTGTTCTGGGAAAGGTTTCCAACAACTGTGAAGAGGTCTTTTCTTGCAGTATTTTAAGCCCTAAAATGGCCTACAAGTGAGTAAATTTTGGACACTTGAGGCGTCTGGCTAACCTGTACTCGGCTTGTGTTCACTGGTGAAAGTGCCTCTTGAAGCAGGGCGTTGGTTTCCTCACCTTCTGGTGGCCTCTAAGAAGAAGTTTGAAAACTGTAGCAATCTGGTTTTTGATTGGAAAGTTATGTTTTGTCTTTTTATCATTGTTTAATTATTGTTTCTCTTTCACAAAATTTGCTCTTATATTTAAAAAACATATTTATTGTTTCAGATAGCATGACACAGGAAAGGAGACCTCCCAAACTTGCCTTTATGTCCAGAGGTGTTGGGGACAAGGGTTCATCCAGTCATAGTAAACCAAAGGCTACAGGTATGAATCTGTAGGGTACGACCCTTCGTAATTGATGTGATACCTGATTTGCCATGCTATTAAAATATGAGTTATTGCTCTATGACATATATGTAGACTTCTTTTAGGCATTTTTAAGAGTTTATGAATTTTATAAAGAAAAGTCTTATATAGATGCTATTGTTTAAGAGTTTCCAACATTTCTTACCTGATGAAAAGTTTCTTGTGGACTTGTGACTTTTGCTGGTCCATAATCAGCTTAATTTTGAAGCTGATTTGTGTATATAGCTTGCAATTACAACTGTGTAAAATACTCCTGTGTAGACAGAAAAATACAGAATAAAGTATACATGAGATTAATTGTGTGGATTTTGCTTATCACACATGGCACAGATTAAATTTCCAACTGTTTAGTGGAACTTTTTGTCTCTCTTCCGGAAGCTATTCCCAGTCTGTGTGCAGTCCACAGCTTTGTCGTTATTGTTACTTCAGATTTATACAAAGGTAGTCATACATACCAAATAGCTTACTTAAAAAGTTTAAAGTTGATTTTTGTTTGTCCATCAGTTATGGGTTAGGAGAGAAGAATATGTTTTCCTTATTTATCTAGTGAATAAAACTATTAAAACTTGTTTAAAAGGAAATTGTAAGAAATATGTGATGTCAGGGCTTTGGAGACGAGACTTGGAATTAATTGTAGGATATTTAAGGTGATAGTGTGTTCCATGTTAACATATAGTTGTCTATAGGGTAGCTCAAGCTTGTTGCCCTCTCTTAAATATGACTAGCCTTGGTGTGCTAATTATGTTGTAGCAGATCTTAGATACAGGTATTGAGTTCACTGTTTAAATGAGAAAACAACAACAACAACAATAATAAACCCTCAGTTGCAGTGTGGGTTCTGGATACTCAGCTGCTCTCTGCTGTGCAGTGGTTTCTTAGGTTATACTGAAGCAGGCCACGGTCTCTGAGTGCCCACAACACAGTAACTCTCTTATTGGGTAAATCGGATATGTAAGAAGTCGGACTGCTTTAGCTGTTTAGTGATTAACCAGTTCAGAATGTTTATCCTTACGTCTTTTTAAACTGAATTTATACCTTGATTTGTATATAGCATTTGAAAAGTTTTAATTCTAAAAAGAACCATTTTGAAATGCAGTCATATGGCACTAAACAATGGGGATATATTCAGAGAATGCATTGTTAGGCAGTATATTTGTGATGTGAAAGTCATTGAATGAACTTACACAAATACAATGGAAATGCCGTAGCAGTTACAGTCAGATGTAAAGTAGAATGTTGCTATATGGCATACAACTTTAATAGTTGAAATTTGTGAACTAGCAGCTTCATCACATGAAACTGGGGAAAGATGATTTTTGACACTTAGAAATGAGCTTCAGCACAGGTAATGAGTTCTAAAAAGGGGTTTATTTAAAGATAAAATGTGCCTGCCTTAGTGCTGTTTCCCTCCTGTATTGACTCTGGATGAGAAGAACCTGTTACATTGCCAGAATGGTTACCAAGATTTTAAAAACTGAAGATAATGAGAAAATATACTGTGTTTGTATCCATCTATTGGTTATATGAACTGTTGTTAATATCACATGCTTTATTTCTCATATTAAAAAAAAAACACCTTTCACAACATATTGACTTTAATTTTAAAAGGAACTTTTCTTGTTCCATAGGATCTACCTCAGAGCCTGGAAATAGAAACAGATCTGAATTATTTTATAACCTAAATGGGTCTTCTGTTGACTCACAACCACAGTCCAAATCAAAAAATGCATGGTACATTGATGAAGGTAATCTATTACTTTAGTGTTTTTTTTTTCTTTAAATAATGATCCTCTTTTTCACTCATCAGAGAAAATGACTTTTTCACCAGTTTTTGTAGTTTTTAGAAATAGAATGAGCAGAAAATTCTTATACTATTTCTGGCTGTAATATTGCATACAATTTAAACTGCAGAATCACGGAGCATTTAAAAATGTGTTTGCAGTTTGATCTCTCCCCTTAACTGATCCATGCAGAGGAGAGGCTGTTTAGAATCGGAGACTCTGCTGTCTGTGTCCTTCTCAACTTCTTTAGAGTACTCCCTTTTAAAGACTCTGTCTTCCTTTGTTTCCGGGATCATTTTCTTCAGGCTGATTCTTTTCTTTGTTGATCTGTTAAGCGACTGTTTATTGAGTACATCCTGTGTGCCAGGCATTCTTCCAGGCACAGAGATTACAGTGGCACAGAGAAGTAGACATGGCCCTTGCCCCTT